AGCCATTATACTGCACATTAAGTCCAGTTAATATCCACTGAGGCCAACTGAGTTTCTCCTCAGTGTGTTCAGCAGATCCAAACCTGTGTGTGGTATTAGAGGAGTCCTGCAAGTTAAGACTCTCTCTTCTGCAGAGAAAAGTAAGATTTTATTTTATTTTATTTTCAGTTTGTTTCATGTGGTACTTTTAGTCCCTGATGTCTCCTACTTAAATCTAATTAATTTCAGATTATTCCAGTTACTGTATGACATTACTTCTTTATTCACATCTTGGGCTTTATAATATTTATTATAAGATGCTTTCTCATGCTGCATTTAATTTACATTCAGTTCAAATAAAATGAATTTTGTCATAAAAACTGAACAAAAGCTTATTAAGACCACATAAAAATGTCAGCACCCAGATGCTTACAGTAAATCACACACAGCATTGTTTCTACTATAGAGAACAAAAAAATAAATCTTTTTAAAAGATATATAAAGATATTATCCTCCAGTTAAAATTACATTAAGTGATGTGGCTTCAGTAGGAATGTCTCTCAAATGATATAATCTTACTAATAAAAATATGGAACATTATACCAATAAAAAAAATGCAAACATCTGACCGGTGACTATGGAAAACAGCCCGAGTGTATAACATCAGCCAGCTGAGTAGATGATTTTATTATCCTCTCCTCTTGATTGCAATTGGCACAGGCCCACGCACACGAATAAGCCCCAGCTGTAACTGAGTCCACCTGTTCATAAACACAAACAGTTGCAAACACACTCCAACCTGTCACATCTCATCAAAGGCAGACCGCACACTGCAGCATGCGCTGATGGCTTCAGCTGGACCCGCTGGCTGAAAGCTGCTTCCTCTCAACCTTACATTACTGAACATGTAGCAGTAAAACATGAAGAGGAACACCATAGCATGTGTCAGACTTTTTCCCACAGTGTTTCTCCGCAGAGCTCGGAGCTGATCCCATCTGAGCCTCCTGAGACACAGTAGCCTGCTGTCTAGCTTGTGTGACTGAAGGAGTGGTGTTATGAGGAGGCAACGAGTGTGTTGTGTTAACCTGGCTGCTAAAGACCTGAACATATTTGGGGAAAATGTCTCTTTATACCCTCTCTTGCCAACTTTTTCCTTCAAACTCTTACACTTAACTGTGGTAATTCTCCAATCTTCCCTGTGTCTTTGTACTTAAATGGTCAGTTCACCCAAATTACTTCTAGTAGCTCTTAGCCACACAGAAAGTTTTTCTTTTATTTGTCCAGCTTTTAAGGCATCAGTCTCTGGAATATTAAAAAAATGAAATACTGAAATTTTACTCAGGGTCAAATTTAGTAATACTGACTCTTACTCTCTCCATGACAACCTCAACCACCTAAAATGTCAATGAATGGCCTCCATAAACTATAATATTTTTTTTACATTTAAGATAATATTACATTTACTTAATATTACAGTTACATTTTTTATTTTATCTCCAAACACCATTGTCTAAATGTTGTTTCGAAGCCCTCTACATGTTCATGAGATACATCAGGTACAGAAATACAAAATGTTATTTTTGCATTTTGTAGTTTAGACCTCCTCTGATTTTTGCAGGGCAGATGTGAATGGCAGCGAGAGGGTGACAAGATCAGGAAGCCAAAACCAAAACACTGAGCTAAGAGATGTCAAAGCGCTTTGCGAAGCTGAGGGAGACTGCAGAGTCGGGTGATAATTCTCTCCGAGTTTGAATCTTTTAACATTATACTTAAACTCTGGATCCATTCTCTTTTATATTGTTGTATGATCTGTTTATTATCCACAGTTCTAAGAGGTTAGTTATTTAGACATGTATGCAGTAAGTCTAGCTCTGGTTACACACAGTATTATTCATGATAGTTTTACTTTTTCATACTTTGTACTTTAGCAAGCCTGTTCTTTGTCCTGACTTTTATATAATCTGGGTTGGGGATGGTCTGTTTGCTGGTTTGGTGAAGTAAACACCTACAGTACATTACCCTCTTTCATGGTTATGATGGTTTCTTTATGGGAAATTATCTTTAGATTATACTGTCTACTGCATAGTTGAAGGAAATATGAGCTGTTTATAGACTTCAAAAGATTTTATTTAATTTTTAGCAAATATGTTTGCTTGTTTGCTGCCTATATTATTATTTAATTCAGTGTTAATATCATAACACTGCCTCAAGCTTTAAATGTTGTCATATTTAAGAATATTTAATAAAAAATAAAATCTAAATTTCACCATGTGTACTCTGTGTGTAGAATGTAAACATCTTCTTTGTTAAAGCCCTCAAATTCCCAGAGATTGTACCAAGTGCATGTACCTGGTGTTCAGTGGCCCATTAGGGGTTAGATCCACAGATCTAACCCCTAATGTTTTTCACTAGAACTACATTCCACTGTATAAGATGTCTTATAAGCTGGTGACAGTGTGTTCTGTAACGAGGGCGCCATGTCTGGAGCTGTTCATCTCATTTGTCAGCACTCATTACAACACAAATAAAATTCTATTCACTTCAGTTGTATGGAGGTGGCAGTACAAGTCTTACCTACAGATATTATGAAACCTGCAGGCTATTAAAACCAAAACTACCTCTATCCTAGTTAAGAAAATCTGTTTTTGTATTTGGGTGAGTTTACTCTTTAAGATTATATTATTATACTGTAGGTGTATTTATTGCAACCATGTTGTGAAATAATTCCTGCACCCCCACCATCAATTCTTCTTTCATCAGCCAGTGTGAGTGTCAGCACTCAGACTAAAAGGCTCTCTGTTCCCCGTAATGCTCCTTCTTCCATTGTATTCATCTAGATGCTTTTCCAAGCTAAGCCTGGCACAGGCCTGGATTTCCTGAACCGAAAATGTGAGCCCAGGAAACTGGACTCCTGCAAGAAAGGGGAGCAGCAGGAGATGGGTGGCACTCGAAAGCTAAACAAATCCAAATATCAGGAGTTTATTTAAGATCTCCTTGTCTTACATTAACAAGCAGTGCTACAGGCGAGTGATTAGGCAGGCACAAATGGGTCAGGGGTCCCTAACTTAATTTCCTTTGGAATCCATATTTTGTTTTGTGAGATGCAAAATACAGGCAGAGATTGAA